GTTCAAACACCATCAGAAGTGCAGGAAACCATCTACAAATCCCATAAACACAGCTAAATACGCCTACACATACACTTACGTACATACATATATCAACATATGCGACAATTCCATTGTTACATTGTACATTAACTGATCACCTTTTGTACTCTTATCATGATCGTGCCTGTGCAGGTGTGCCTCGCTTAGTCAGGAATAAACATTTTATTCATTTATTTATATAACATAGACAGGAAGTTTGTGTCTCAGTGCCATATTCTGCCTGAACAAGGCATTTACGGAGAACACGAATCACTTCGCCTGTGTACGTCCGAAGGTTGGAAATGCATGATAACAAAGGAGATAGGTGTTTTACAGGGTTCGCCCTAATTATTGTCAACGATGCTCTCGTATCTATCTCCATCAGTACCTTCTGTCCTTGGATGTAGAGCTCCAGAGTATGGCGCGGAACCTAGATTGGACACGGTATTAAACCATCATACCGAATGTAACTGATTCCTTATCTTCACGACAATCCACTGCTTTGTTTGTGCTCGCGATTCATGCAATTCCGGATGCAGCTTGACTGATCCGCTTACGCGCGCCAAATGACCCAACTTCTCACAAATTTAGCACACTGCTTTCTGGTGTCGATATTCAGATGCGCATTTGTGTTGATCACCACAACGGTAGAATATAAATGGTTTTACCTCCACGGACGTCCTTGTTATCTGTGTCGTCCTTCTCCCACTTCTGCTTAGATCTTGTAGAGTGAATGCGGACAGTTGTCTCAAATTCTCCCTTTAATTGTCAATTAAACAAGCCTTCGCCCAATTAATTGCACTATCATTCTGCGAAAACAGTTTCTTCGGGGCATTCTGGTTTGATATGCCGTTTATCAGGCATTGAAGTAACACTGTTTCTCCAAACTTCGCCACATTGACTTCATTGTATCATGGGTAGCCTGGTGTATACGAGCGATGAACTCATTTACAGGAGAGTTTGGCAAAAATTAGCTGGCTGTAAGCACGTTTTGTCACACTCCAAAGAATAATGAACGTAACCAAAACATTGGCTACGGTTGCACAGACGTCGTCAATCCAAAGGACGTCGAATTATCGCTGGGCCTCGTCACCAAGGAACTGTCGCAGTACTTTGATCTTGTGTTGCACCGTATGAGAGAACAATGGATTCGAGATTGGAAGTAATTCCAGGTTTTCCGCAATCTATTCCAACTGGCAATAGATGGTGTTTCTGCAGCACATAACCAGAATTGCGTGGGTTCATTCACAACGGGCGTAATAATCCCCGTCGCCAAATGATACGTCTTAGTCACGGCAAGTAAATGTCCGAGAGTGTATGCTCTATAAGGCTCAAAGCCCACGGTATCGAGAATGTGTCTGAACAGGACATTATGTAATTTACAACTGACAACGCTGGCATGCATTAAGTGGGATACGAAAAGCTTGGTGTGTGTATGTGCGTGCGTGCCTTTATGTTTGTTGTTCATCCAATTGAGTGGGTTAGAGCCTGACCTTCAGTGCACATGTGACAAGGGTCGTGAAGCGTTTTTGTTCATACTGCTTCTGCAATCATCGGTAGGTCACGTACTGCGTCGCTCACAATAATTCTGACGTCCGGTTCAAGCTCAACTGCGACTATGATCTTGTCCTCTTTCTCTTGCTGATGGGTCTATGAGGCGTGACAATGCGTCCGCTTGGCCTATGCAAGCGGTTTTTTGGTAGCTGATCTCAAAATCATCGATCAGCAGAGTGAGAGCCCAGCATTTGAGTTGGTTAGCCGTGTACGCAGGGATGACCTCATTCGAGCTGAAGATTGCCAGTAATGGTTTATGATCAGTCAGTAGTTTGCACCGGCGGCCGTATATCATCTTGTGGAATTTCTTCACTCCAAAGATTGTGGCTAATGCTTTCTTTTCGATATGGCTGTAGTTTTCTCAGCTCTTGCCAAACTCATGACTGCGTGATCAATCACTTTTCGTGATCAATCTGAGTACAAACGCGAAATAACCGCTCCGTTCCCATGATTTGATGCGTTAGTTGCGAGAATGATCTGAGTTGAGTCGTAATGTGTCAGCAACAACTCGGAGCCCAGGAATGACTTGATTCGTTCATTGGTGCATTGTCACTCGCGTCCAGTTCCAGGCGTGGTCTTTGGTCAAATGCCTGTTCAGCGGGGCATGCAGGCGATGCAGCTCAGGCAAAAATGCGCTTTCGTGACTGATGAGACCGCAGAAGGGACGTAGCGATTGACTATTTGCTGGTGGAGGCATCTTCCTTATGGATTCGACGTTTGTCAGCTCCGGTCGACGGCCACTCTTCTCAAGTATAAAATCAAGGTATTTGATAGTCGGAGTGAAGAAAGTTTATTTGTCTTCATGAATCCGGAAACCATAAGACTGGATACGACCAGGCAGCTCCTCCAAGTGGTCAAATAATTCCTCTCTTGTTCGGCCCATTACGATAATGTCATCCAAGTATGCAGCGGCTCCAAGAACTTGCCAAAATGGTATTCATCAACTGTTGAAAAATGTTTGGGGCCGTTTTTACGCTACAATGTAAGCGGTTGTACTGGTACAGCCCAAGATGAGTGTTGATCGTCAATAGCTCTTTTGAATCCTTGGCAAAATCTACCTGAAGGTATGCATCAGACAGGTAAAGCTTGGCAAAGCACCTGCCACCATTCAGTTTTGCGAAGATCTCTTCCGGTAGTGGCAATAGGTATTGGTGGTCGTCGAGTGCAGCTTTAAGACCTGTTGAGAAATCTGCGCGGACGCATACTTTACCATTCGCTTTCTTTACTGAGACAATGGGTGCGGCCCAAGAGACGTAGTTTACAGGTCTGATGACGCCAGTTTGTTCTATTCGCTTCAACTCTTGTTCAACGATTGCCATCATTGCATACGGGATCGGACGTTTAGCCTTAAAGTCTGGCTTGGCTTCTGGCCGCAGGGACAGCGTCGCTGAAAATTTGGTGCAATGGCCTAGGCCATCCTGAAACACGTTCAACTTTTGCTTCAGCAGACGTATCATCTCTTCGACCGACTTCGTTGATGCGTCTGGATTCACTCGAATTCTGTTGCAGATCTGCTTCAACTTAACATCGAGCAGTCGCAACTTTTCAATCCAGTCTAGCCCAAGAAGGTTCAATTTGGGCCTATCTGATATGTAAACCGTCACTGTTCTTCCACACCGTTGAATGCCATTGTACAAGTAATTTCTGCGATTAAGTTGAGCACACCTCCGGGTGCGTTGTGGGCTATTCTGTGAAGCTTGATCAACCTTGGCCTCTTTATGTGATTCCAAATGTTCCTGGAAATAATTGTGATGTCTGAGGCCGTGTCAAATTGCAGCTTCGTTGGGATACCATGGATTAGCACAGTGATACATCGTCGTCGTGGCCTAGGTACACTTTAAGACGCAGTACTTGCCGAAAGCGATTCTACACTATGCTTTCAAGAGTTCTTCGTGGGGTAGAACTTCGTGTTCTTCGGTCGGGCCTGGATGCAGACTTCTTCTTTATGGCCTCGCTTACGGCACTTTTCGCAGATGTGACGTTTTTAAAGGCAGAAACGTGCAAAATACCATTCGCCGCACGACCAACAGACTGTAGGTGATTTGTACGGGGCTCTCTTGAACGGTTTGCTTCGATTAGCATTTCCGGCATTTTTCACACGGTGAACGGCATCGGATGTTGCAGGGTAACACTGTTCGATCATGGCAGTGTCGTGCTCCTATGTGAGCAATCGCTTGCATTCGATAACAAGAGCCTTTAGTGTCAAGTCCGGGTCTTGATCAAGCTTAGATGGATGCGGATATCAGCATCACAAGGGGACTGCAGAACACTGACGAAAATGACGCTTAAATTGGTCGTCCATCAAAGATCGGAGTCTGAAACGCTCACACTCGTGGTTAACCATGTCAACTACCGCCGCATAATCGTCCATTTATCGGTTGACAATCTTTAGGCATTGAAAACGAATGCTGGACAGAGAAACTGATCCTCCAACTATTTCACTGAGCGGTGACACATTTTCGTCGAAAGTGAGGTCGTTTGGTTGTTTCGGCAGAATATCGTCGATGAATCTTAAATGTTCGGCGTAACAAACTCACTTTCCAGGAGTCTTCCTGATGACTGAAGTCCGTACGGAACATATCTTCCCAGCTTTTGAACCATGCTTCAAAAGTGCAACCGGATTCTGCGTCATAATTCAATTCACTGGTCGCGTTAGTGAGAAGATCAACAGAATTCGCCTGTGTTCCTTGCTGCTGCTCCTGCAGACTGCAAATTCAACTAATCCGTCAACTTTTCAATCATTTTCATTTGAGCTTCCATTTGGGATTTTTGTTACAAATGCAACTACTGAAATTGTTCAACAGAAAATTCCCCGACGTTTCCAGTTTTGTCCGTCGTCATTTGTTAAATCTTCTCACCTGCTGCAATTCCAAAACTTGCGCTTACTCTGTTCCGCACGACTGCAAACCCAAACGAAGAAAAGTCAAAACGATCTTGTCCAAAATAACGTGTTAACCGCGTTAACCGCAGCCAAACAGGAGCTGTACAAAGGCGGCAGGTCATGGTCATATTTATAGGTCGGCTCATGACCTTCGCCTTCTAAAATTAGAAGGTCAGCTGCCAAGTTTAGTTGTTCCACATGGATTTGGCCGATCTTCAGGACGGTTAGTGGTCACTTGCCAACCCTAGAATATTCCGAATGTTCGAAATCGATGCGATCCTCGTTAACAATCGACACCATTTTCTACGTGCCTTCATTTTCTCCCCCGTTTTTTCACCACTCGTACCTCATTCATTATGATGGTTTAACTCCAGGCCACGGACTTCACCGTGCTTTCTTTTTTAGCCCATGTTTGAGTGATTGGACCAGGTCTCGTATGTCGATTGCTTTACACCCATGACTACACTGAACTTTCCGCTGGTTTTTGCATGTCACAGCATTCGCGCACGTCTCAATTCGACCCACGGTTTCCTCCATTTTTCAGGTGATTAAAACGCTTCGTCGAGTTCTGAGCTGCACAACTCAACAAGCAACTCATCACGCTGTTGTTGTCAACCGAGATGGTCGCAGCGTTTTACAAACGAATCTAGGATGTAGCCAAGCAGCCAAAATTGCAGCATCTCTAATGGTAAGTTTGACTAGGTGGTCGATTGTGATTCATGGTCCTTTGTACGCTAATATGCTACACAATCGCGGATGATTCAGTTTCACCGGATTAATCGTAGAGGCTTTTTAGTTCTGTGAATTGATCTATTCTCTGATATCGGTCTACGAAACTTATCATCCAACATTTAGCTTTTCATAAATTTATTAGATTTTTACGAGTGACACTTGATTAGGTGTGCTTTTCGAACACGGTTGCTCGTTTCACTAAACGCATTCGTTGGTTGCACAACAGCTGAGCTGCCACACCGCAATAATTATCACAGATCAAGGTAATGACTCCACGAGGTACTCCCTTAACGAGTTGCAAAACTTCTAACAGACCACTGCTACGTACCTAATGATAGTAAAGAGGTCACTATGCAACCGTTGCAGTCCCCAACCAAGCCAACCTTCCAACTCTAAGGCCGCAAATGTTAGCAACAAGCTTTGGTAACGATCTGGGTGATACAACATTACGCTTCAGTACAATGACTGGGATTGTATGGCTCAGTGGACGTTAGCACTAAATGTTTCCCAGCTTTTGGAAATTGCTAGAGCCTCTCATTCATTGTTTGACTGGTTGCGGACCGACTGTTTCCAACTGCTGCTGATACAACGGTACGGTGGAAGTAAGCTATGGGATGGACGAACAGATATAATTTACCTCCTTGAAATAACCATACGAATGTTTGGTTACTTTCGCCTGTTTGCATCAACAATGCTATCCTTTTCGTTCATGTTCAGTGAGTTCTCGAAGTGCAGGTTATTTTTACGTTTGCGACTGAAATCAGTACCGCCGCTGTGGCTCCATACCAGCACACAAGTAGAAGGCTGACCACATTTCCATGTCCCATGATAGTTTGTGTCTCAGGAAGTTACTACATCAGTGCAGATAACTTGCACCACGAGATTTTTGACAGTTAGACAGCACAAATGCTCATCGTTGGTGTGCCACCGCTCACCACTAGCCAGCTGGTACCTGATCAGAAAAACGCAAACTAGCCGCAACTCACTTCCGGCTGAATATGGTCGTCTGCTACAACTGAGAAGGATGAACTACACTTCGCTTTCCTAGGTTGCGTTTTGGCAGCCTACAACTTCCTGATGCATTCATGCCCACAATTCCCAGTTGGACCGAGTCCATACTGCGTATTGTGTAGGATCATATAATCAAATGTTTCGGGAGGAACCCCCGAGACCAATATCTCTATATCGTGCTGCCTTCCATGTCTTACTGTTGAATATAAAGTCAACACTGATTACTGTCGAACGCAATGCTATCCACGGGACTCTGTCACCGGTTCTGTTCCACTTCCCCATCATTCATGTGCACTCTTCTCAAGTTGACGTTCATGAAACAACCGCGCCTTTTTTTTCTGGTGTACCACTTTGCAACTTTTCTTTCGACTATGCCAGCATGGCCTGTCGACCACACTTGTTTTCACAGTGCACTGTTTCAGAGTTGCTGTATGCCGTGTCCCAGAATCTATGCTGTCACGGTAGCGTTTGCGCTTACTACACTCCGATTCGAATGATTGTCTTGCACAATTCGCTTTCCAGCTGACACCGACGCAGTTGTTCATAGCATTTCCAACGCACATATACGCTCTAGTCTCAAAATGAACCCCTCAGAACTGCCTTATGTACACTTTTCGTTTTTGGAACCCAATCAAAGTTAGTAGTGAGCGGTCAAAAGCTCTGGTGTCCTTTAAGCATTTTAAAATGACTCTTAACCGACGTGGAATGCGAATCCTGCAAACATCTATTATCTAGCAGTAGTAAACTCGCAAATATTAATGTCGTGATTGTTATTCGTGATATCGATATCCAGCGGTGTCGTACACCAGGTCCTGAACATCGTGTCCCAGGCGCTTTCTTGTTCGCCTCGCGTCTCACTGACACTGTTGAACTCTTTCCTCCACTGAACGCTGACCACAACATATATATAAGCAACGCTTTCTAGCACAAGGGTTCGCACCCTGTAGCTCGACACATTCCGAACTGATGTGCATTCTCCTTAAGACAGGAGAATTACTGAGCTTGGGCCAAAATCTCTTGATAGCGAGCAACCTGCTATTTATGGTGTTTTTACAGCTATGAGGCCTCGGTGTTTCTGCAGTTTACTTTTGGCTTTTAGTTCTATTTCTTGGCTTTTCTTCATGCTCATTTCCACTGACTGGATACGGTCCGAATTTCGTTGCCGTGCGTCAGTTGCATTTCCTTGTATTCCTTGGTGATTGCACGCAATTGGTCACAGTCCCATGCGATTGTGTTTTCTTTCTTGGCATCATTGACGGAAGCATTGCTGATCGCTGAATGGCGACATTCCCGCTGACCTTCCGCTTTTCCTTTTCTACTGCACGTGCTGCCTACTCGTTAAGACTGAGATTAACCATACCGCCATGAGCGTCAGCTGGCTAACCTCATCCTATTGTATACTTCCGACCCGTTTACACTCGTGCCTTCTCGCATAATGACCAATATTCGGGCTTCTCTGAGGTTCACTTCAGGCCCCTTAGTTGCCATATGTTGTCGCGATTTACCAGGTGACACTGTTAATAAGCTACACTCTAAACTCGGTCGTCATTGATGATGTAGGTGTGAAAGTCTCCATTGTCGATTTGATTCACTTTGCACTATTTGTGCTGCAGTGCAAACTGTTTGTCCATATGGCCGGAGCTACATGAACAGTCCACAAATTCCTGAGGATACAATTTGTTTAATTTAAGCAACAACGATAGTTCCGTTACCACACCAGTTTTAGAGCACATGTTACATTCGTTAGGGACATTTGACTGTGGATCGTATTGACGAGGGACGCTGGGGGATGTCGATGTCTTGTGCGTTGGATCTCGGTGCTATGAAGGTAGGTGAGTTCTCTTTTAACTCACTCAAGGAGCAGAACCAAGAAGGCTTTGATACGTTAACTGCGAAGTGGTTGAAAAATCCGCCTTCCTATACCATAGACCATCGCAACAAGGCCGGACACTGACGCGGTGCCGCGGTTTTCATATATCAGTTTCATGATGATTTTTTACCTTGTTCTCTTGGGCATATTAAGATGTATTTTTCTGTGATTACATGTCTAACAAACTCAGTCGCCCAGTTCTTTAGCTTGGTGATTGGATTTCAGTTCGCGCTCATCTCTGTAAAACGTTGATTCTGTGAACCGTTACACAAGTTCTTTTGTCCCCTATCTGACGAGGAATAGGCGTGTAATTCAGAGTAAATGATGGCCCAAATAGAGGTCGCGTGTTGTGCAATCCAGAGAACCAATCTGCACTCCGAAACCTAACATTTTCTTTTGGTCAGACGTTTCAGCCGAATTTCTTGTTAGATCAGCCGCCATTGTCACGTCTATGGTCCTCCTCATTGTACGTAACCCTACCGATTTTTGATCCTAATCATCGTTGTTGCGGTTGGTCCTTCAGGGACCGACAGCCTTTTGGTTAACTGGGACTGCTCGAGCAGGCAGTCGATTCCGCTACTCTGGTGCCTTGTTTGAGGCCAATTCCCAATTACTGTTGCCGTACATACTACGCTCGTTCTGCATCGATTCTTGTGAGCTCTATTCTTATCATCAATCAGGTTGTTTCGTTCTATGTTTTGTCCGCAACTCTTTCCTCATTCATCAGCGAACTTCAACGAGTCTTTCCACTCGTCCCCTTCATGCCTCCTGTGAGCACGCAGACATATATAGCATGTCTGTCTTCTTTACTTTGGTGCTTCGATGGATCACTCACCTGAGCAATGAGGTACCCAGTCTACGTCCTGTCATCTGCCATGCTTTATTGGGCTTCTTCGCTCCCCCCACTCCCATACACTCGGCTGAAACTACCTGTGAACTTTTGCCTGTCCTTACTCACGGCGAAGCGGTTCGGCCTCACTCTTGGTTAGACGCTATGATGGAAAGACACTGTTTGACTTGGCGAGGTGAGCTTCGTTTTCTTCTTTTTCCTTGAGTGCTTCACTTAAATGCATTATAACTGCGCTTCACCGCAATCTCATCTTTCATGGTCGGAGACGCATGTTTCCCCTGAACTGCACACCGGCCTAATTCTCCTCTTTTAGGTCCTATCACCGCCGGACCTCACCGGTCGCTTTCAACGAACTGTATGGTTGCCACATCGCCTCTTTCCTTTAGTGCACGCCGTTTGCCTATGGATTGAGACACACAATTTATGCCGCGCTTTATCTTCCTACGGCCTGTTTAATTGTTATTGTCACACCCTCAGTCGATTAAGGTTAATCCTTGCCCTTTTCCAACCTTGTCCTCCAATGCCAATTTGCTCTTTGTTTGCACGGTTCCGCTAGGAATGTCCGGGACGTTACTGGACCTTGGAAATTGTCGACAGACTTCTCCATCACCACACAACCTTGCAATCTCCACCTGAAAAATAGGAATGAAAGTAGTGATTGTGATGCAGTGTCGAGTGTTAGAAGCCATTCAGCATTGATCTCACTATCATCATCCTCATAAATACACGTTGTCTGATGGTGAAAGATGTACCAAAACTTTTGTGCCGCAACACAAGTTATTAGACCATAGAGAAAAAATCTGAAAAAGTAACACGATGGTAAGTATCATATTATGCAAGGGGTGTGAGGTCGTCATTGATCGCCATTAGGGTCGGCTCCTTGCCATTTCAACATGTGTATCCAACCAAACGTCTTCATCGTCCTTCGGATCCCAGCCCGTCAATCAGGAACTACCAACCGACGGCAACTTTCGAGTTAGGGCCTTTATTCCCTTTGACCAAGTCATCGCTTGGTCTCCTTTTCTTCTATTCAGACCCCAGGCGCGCAAACAACACACCTCTTCAGTTAATTTTATTATTTGGTACGCGATACTCGACACTTAAACTAGAGTGCTTAGAAGAAGTCTAGGCCCTCTTGCTAACGTTTCACCTAGGTGTTGTTTGCATACTATGCAAATCCAAGTTATCGATCGTTTCAGGCAACAAAAGTGCACTTTTGGCATGTGAAGGAATCCAGAAGTGCATTGTCTCAGTGCGTTATATGCTCCGTTTGTTTAAAATGACCTGTGGTACACGTAGCCCGGGTTGATCGTTCCTGCGTTCAACTGTTCGCCGAGCTTCGCAATTGGTATGCAAACATTTCATCACCATACGAGGTGACTTCCTCAATGCACCGCTGGGTCAAACGTAACCCGCTGACTTGCTCGTCGATTTGTGATTGATTAGCAAGTGACTTTTGAATTGACCTTCTCGATCTGTGCCTCATAACCATCCGCCTACCCAACTTCTCTGGTAGACACGGACGATCCGTAAGATAGTTTTGTCCCGGCTGTTGCGGTTGTATTGTTAACGGCTCGTTTAGCTGCTAGCGACGGCTTTTAAGTTGTTTTAATTTTCTCCGTTTTAGCGTTTCGTAAACCGGGTCAATCTTGACGTGCATGTTTCCCCAGTGCTTCGTCGAGTACCATGCCTCGAGGAACTCTTCCTTTTCGTGTCTCTCCTTGTTCTAGGACCTCTGCGTTGTTCCAGTCGAAGTGTGTATTGAAACCAGTGAGAGAGCGTAATGGTTCTTACAAGCTCTCTTATGCTGTTGTATTTTTTAGGCAGTTCTCTTCCTCTATGACCCACATAGTTATCGCAATCTTGACACTGTATCTTGTGCACAACATTTGGTATTTCGTGTGCTTCAGGTCTAGCTTTGGGTTTCAACAGAGTTCTCCTCAATGTGGCGGTTGGTTTGTGAACCACTGTAAGACCGTGCTGTTTAAATAATCTTGCCGTCATCTTGGAGATGTTCTTTGCATAAGGTAGAGCGATTCGGTTTGTTGTCGTTTGAACAGTCAGAGAGGTCGTAGCTTTGTTGTTTAGACATCGTCGGACAAGCTATGTGGATATCTATTTAGATAAAATGATCTGAACACGTATAGCTCTTCTTTCTGCTTTGCCTCAAGAGTGCTGCAATGTGTTTCAATTCTAATAAAGCTTATTTGATGACATTTCGGGTGATTGTTGTAGTAGTTTAGAATCTCCATTGCAATGAGGCTGTACCTTACCGTGGTGCGATGGTTTGTGTGCCTCAGTGATCCATTGAGCCATGTTGGGTGATGCTTTTGCACCTTCAGTGTCACTCATATCACATTGATCAATAGTTAGAGGCCGGACAAACTTATCCTCCTGGTCCTCCAGGTTGGGGGTTGGAATGACGGTGGCATCTTATTCCTTAAAACGAACTCATTGTAGCCCAACGCCAAATCCGCTGCCTTGCGGTAAGGTTTTTGAACCAAAGACTTTGGTTGAGAACCCTAATCGTTCTTCTATCTAGGCCTGCGCAACGTGACAATATCCTGCCCACCCAATACAATGAATCTCTCTTCAAACTAGTTTCTGATGCTCTGGCTGCCGCAGAGGATAATCAACGGTGCCCTATCTGCTGCATAAAGCAGGGTGGATAGGAGTTTGGATGCTACTGCTCAAGGCTTCCCATCTTCTTCTTCGCCCTTTTACGCTTTTTCACCCTCATCGTCCCGTTCCAGCTTCACTTTTATCCCACCAGTTTAAGACCCCCCATTCTTGGCCCTCCCCCAACGTGCTTTGTTAGGCGTTTCTAATTTCAACTCACATACTAACGCGGAGCGTCACTCCTCTCCTGTCGACAAGCCCATGTCCAATCAAGCGTTCCATTCCAATTCATCGGCTTCCATTTGGAGCCCTCGATCCTTCTTCAGATTGGCATGCTTCGATGTACGCACATTGCTACTGATCGGCCAACACGCATCACTTGCGCGAACTTTAGAGACCCCATCGATCGATAACTGCTGCTTATCGGAGACCCTCCTGCAGGACTCGAGCTCTGTGCTCACTCTGCGATGCTCTTCAGGTGACACCGGTAGTATTTTCTCATTGCGCCTATCCGGTGACGATGCAACTTCGAGTACCGGCCAAGCTGGTATTGGCATTGTCCTGAGTCCCATGGCTGAAGTTACTCTAATTGATTGGGACTGCACACATCCGGCTCAGTAGCCGGATGTGTGCGGTCCGATTGGCTGGCTCGTTCAAAGCTTCAAAGCTGCGCGGGACTAACAGGTGTCTATTCGTTATCGCTGCTTTGCACCGACAAACTACCAATGACTGGGTAAAAGACTACTTCTATCGTCATCTGAACCAGCTCCTTCGCCGCATAAGAAGCTCGGACACTGTTGTACTGGCTGGGGCTCTGAACGCATAAGTTGGAACGCTCTCCACTGATGAACTGCATCTGGGCGGCCAACATGGTGTAGGCTCCTGTAATGATAACGGTGAGCGGTTAATTCATTTGTGTGAGGATGCTCGCTTATTTCTTGCGAGCACCAACTTTCGACACAGCACCCACGGGAGGGTGACTTGGCGCCCACCAGTTTCGAACTAGCTATGGACGAGAATCGATCGCATTGCGATAAGTTACCGATAGTGAGGCTGCGTCCATAACTGTCGCTCGATTTGGAGCACATGTGTGGACACCGATCATGTGCTTGTATGTGCTGAGCTTCGCATACGCTTTGGCGAACTCCCATAACGAAGTTGTGACCGCATTGACACCAGCCAACTGATGACACCAGTTGTTCTGAAGGCCTATCAAAGTGCGTTGTATTGTGAGTTAAATAAGCCCTCACTGGATGCAAGTGTAGCTCACTGGTCCCATATTCACCAGACCTTACTAGCAGCAGGAAAATCCTCATGTGGTAAGTCTACTAGCCAACAAGGATATTGGATCTCTTCGCGGTCTCTGGAACTTATCGATGCTCGCCGGCATATTCCGGCTGGATGCGGACACATTGAATCTCGCAAAAACCTCCAGGCAAGACTCTATGCTGGCTTGAAGAGAGACCGCGAATCCTGTTAGCCTCTGCGTGCGTCAGAGATGGTACTATTCTCTGGCCCTGGCAACCAACGGATGTTATTCCCTCGGATACGGGAACCGGACAGCAGGAGACCTGGTTTTAGTGACGAGACTGGACAGCCTATCTACAATTTGTCAAAATGTTTAAAGCGTTGGGCTGAGCAATTTGATAGGCAATTTAGTCGGCTGGAATTGTTCGATTCTTCGTTAGGCAGTGATTGCCCTGCTTCGTGGGCTGTCTCCTTTTATCCACCCTCTCGTTCAGAAGTCGAAAGTGAGATCGAACTGTTGAATTTGAACACATCCGCAGGGCCAGATGATCTTCCTCCAGCCCTCTTCAAAATCGGTGGTTCTGCTCTTGTTGATGCTTTACATGAATTGCTCGTGAAACCTTGGGAGCAGCAGACTGTCCCAACCGACTGGAGCCGCTCCGTTATTGTTCCCATTTTCAAAGGACGCTCGCGTTCGCAATGTGTCAGTCATAGAGGAATCAGTCTGATTTCCATCGCCTCTAAATTACTCGCCTCCCTAAACCTTCACAGAATGACTGGCGCTCGTGAAAGCCAGATTCGTGAGGAGCAAGCCGGGTTCCGTCGGGGTCGTGGCTGCATCGAGCACATCTTCACTTCGCATCCGTTGTTTGAGCATCGTCATACATATTGGCGGTCCACCGTATTCGTGTTCCTCGACATTAAAGGTGCCTTCGGATCGATGTGCCCTTTGGAATTGTCTACTCAGGAAAGGTGTGCCCGAGCAAAATTTAAATATTATCCGAGCATTATACACGTGTACCGCGGGCAGGGTGAGGGCTTACGACAAGCTATCGCCGCCCTTCAATATCTCCAGCGTTGTGAGTCAAGGATTCCCGTTGTCACCTTTCCTCTTCAACTTCGCTATTGACTAAGTCATGGAGATTGCATTTATGGGGCATGCTTTATAAGGTGTGGAGCTACTCCCAGGAGATCGACTTCTTGACTTAGAGTATGCAGACGACATTGCTCTAATCGGTGACAGCTCACAAACATGCCAAGTGGCACTGGACCGATTATCAATGACTGTCCGTCTCTTCGGGCTTTTGT